AGAAATTGGCTTTCCCGTTTAAGAGAAATCAGATGTTGTCTGTGTCTCTAAACAAAAACCCAGCGGTGGGACAAATGTATGTCTCACCGTTGAAATGTGCTTTGACGACATATTGTGGTGCAGAGGCCATTGCGTAGGGTTGTTTGAAGGTTTGAAGGTTGGAATGTTTGAAGTTTATGAGTTATTCGAAGGTTGGAATGTTTGAAGTTTATTCGAAGGTTTGTATGTTTGATTGTTTGAAGGTTTGAAGGTTTGATTATAAGAACGTTTGAAGGTTAGAAGATTTAACAGATTAAGTGAATCAATGTTATGATAAACGTAAGACTAAAAATCTCATACTGAATTTCAATTAAGTAAGGATGTAACCCCCAAGGCTGCCAATAGTGTTACATGCATGGCATCCCAAAGGCTGTCACGTAGCCTGAGCCTAGCTTGTAACCAATGACACCTCTTATTCGCCAATTGAGATGGCGACACCTTTCATTTTTGTACTCTTTCGCCAAGTCTATTGGCGCATCCCTTACTGTCCAATCGTGATACATGCATGCAGATATGTAACCCCCTAGGCTGCCACCTAGCCTGCGCCTACTCTACACCTACACTGTATCTTGTAAGTCTCCTCTCATCACCTCCAATAGGGTTACATGCATTCAGGCATGGCATCCCAAAGGCTGTCACGTAGCCTGAGCCTAGCCTGCAACCAATGACACCTCTTATTCGCCAATTAGGATGGCGACACCTTTCATTTGTGTACTCTTTCACCAAGTCCATTGGCGCCTCCCTTACTGTCCAATCGTGATACATGCATGCAAATATGTAACCCCCTAGGCTGCCACCTAGCCTGCGCCTACTCTGCACCTACACTGTATCTTGTAAGTCTCCTCCCACCACTTCCAATAGGGTTACATGCATTCAGGCATGGCATCCCAAAGGCTGTCACGTAGCCTGAGCCTAGCCTGCAACTAATGACACCTCTTATTCGCCAATTGGGATGGCGACACCTTTCATTTTTGTACTCTTTCGCCAAGTCCATTGGCGCCTCCCTTACTGTCCAATCGTGATACATGCATGCAGATATGTAACCCCCTAGCCTGCCACCTAGCCTGCGCTTACTCTGCACCTACACCGTATCTTGTAAGTCTCCTCCCATCACCTCCAATAGGGTTACATGCATTCAGGCATGGCATCCCAAAGGCTGTCACATAGCCTGAGCCTAGCCTGCAACCAATGACACCTCTTATTCACCAATTGGGATGGCGACACCTTTCATTTTTGTACTCTTTCGCCAAGTCCATTGGCGCCTCCCTTACTGTCCAATCGTGATACATGCGTGCATATATGTAACCCCCTAGGCTGCCACCTAGCCTGCGCCTACTCTGCACCTACACTATATCTTGTAAGTCTCCTCCCATCACCTCCAATAGGGTTACATACATTCAGGCATGGCATCCCAAAGGATGTCACATAGCCTGAGCCTAGCCTGCAACCAATGACACCTCTTATTCGCCAATTGGGATGGCGACACCTTTCATTTTTGTACTCTTTCGCCAAGTCCATTGGCGCCTCCCTTACTGTCCAATCGTGATACATGCATGCAGATATGTAACCCCCTAGGCTGCCACATAGCCTACGCCTACTATGCACCTACACTGTATCTTGTAAGTCTCCTCCCATCACCTCCAATAGGGTTACATGCATTCAGGCATGGCATCCCAAAAGCTGTCACGTAGCCTGAGCCTAGCCTGCAACAATGACACCTCTTATTCGCCAATTGGGATGGCGACACCTTTCATTTTTGTACTCTTTCGCCAAGTCCATTGGCGCCTCCCTTACTGTCCAATCGTGATACATGCATGCAGATATGTAACCCCCTAGGCTGCCACCTAGCATGCGCCTGCTCTGCACCTACACTGTATCTTGTAAGTCTCCTCCCATCACCTCCAATAGGGTTACATGCATTCAGGCATGGCATCCCAAAGGTCGTCACGTAGCCTGAGCCTAGCCTACAACCAATGACACCTCTTATTCGCCAATTGGGATGGTGACACCTTTCATTTTTGTACTCTTTCGCCAAGTCCATTGGCGCCTCCCTTACTGTCCAATCGTGTTATATCCTTAGGCTGCCACCTAGTCTGCAAGAGTGACACCTTTCATTTTTGTACATGCATGCAGATATGTAACCCCCTAGGCTGCCACCTAGCCTGCAAGAGTGACACTTCTCATGCATGCATGAACCAACTACCACCTCACTCACTCTATGAAATTTTTTTGCCTATAAATACAGACCATATCATACATCTCTCACACCCACACAAGTCTCACTCTCTGCTACGAAATATTTCATAATCTCTTACACTTTCTAATTCTTTCATAATCTCTTACACTTTCTAAGTCTTTCAGAATCTCAAGCATTTTAAACAATGGCTCTTCTAACAATGGGCGATTCTCACAGAGGCACAAGAGAAAACATTGCCGCATTTGTAAGTTTCTATTTTGGTTATACATTCTTCATACTTCAGATAATACTTTGTTCATCTTACTTAATCTTACACCTTTTACATTATGAACTCAGGATACCAAAAGATTCAGAATCCGTTCTCACAACTACCTGACTCCCGACCCATTTATCGTACCATATCTGGAATACGCAGGTTTTGGACATGTTATAAAGATCTCCAACTGCACAATTGATTCGAAGTTCATTCTTGCAATATTGGAAAGGTGGAGACCAGAGACCCATACATTTCACCTACCAATAGGTGAATGTACCGTCACGCTAGAGGATGTGTACATGTTACTAGGTCTCCTTGTCGATGGTAAGGCCGTGAACGGGTCGGTTCAACAACCCAACTCTCAGTGTGAAGAGCTGTTGGGAAGAGATATGGTATAAGGTGGTGGTGCGAGAGGTCAGGGAATACTACTCACTGAGCTTAAAAGTCATTATGCAAGTTTGGAATTAAACAAAAATTCCTCCGAGCAAGACAGGGTAGTAAAAGCCAGAACTTATATTATGATACTATTTGGTACCTTTTTATTTCCCGAAAGTACGGGAAATAATGTAAATTTTATGTATTTACATTTACTTAGAGATTTTGAAAAAACAAGAAAGTATAGTTGGGGTTCTGCAGTTTTAGCCCACCTATACAGTTCTTTGTGCAAAAATGCAGTCAAGGAAAAATGTACATTTTATGGGTGCGCTTTTTTGCTACAAGCCTGGGGTTGGTGGAGGATGGAGTCCTTAAACCCCGTCAACAACAACACTTTCGTTTTCCCGTACGCAACAAAGTAAGTCATCAAGTTATATCATTTATTACTATTCATCTCTTCACCAAATATATGCTAAAAATAAAATGTTTTTCATTTCCTTTAGGTATTGCGTGAGGGGTATGGATTACGACAAGAATCCAAGATTCAATGTCGCACTATACCGCAATCTGTTGGATCACTTAGGCCCGGATGATGTACGTCGTACCTTTAAACTTTTCTTCATTTAAATTATTTATATATTACGTTTTCGTTAACCTGATTTAAATTTTATCGCAGTTCGCCTGGAGACCATATTTGGGTTTGGGCCATGATCCAAACCCGGAGGATGCAGCAATTTGGACCGCGAAGACTGCAATCATTCGGTTCAACATTGTGGAGATGCACCACAGCGACCGTGTGAAGATGCAGTTCAGAATGCATCAAGAGATACCAAGTGATCCAACTTGTTTGTCTCCATGGCATCTCAAAAGGATCGACGCCCAGTGGGGTCTTACCAACTGGAAAGACTTCGCTCCAGAATGGTGTAATATGTGGCAGAGGCGTCACCGATATGTCTTGCAATTCCCGGTTTTCCTTAATCATGATAATATGCAACACACGAATCAATATTTATCTTGGTACAGGTCGGTTAGTAACCTTGAAATGCACGTGTCTCATCCAAGGTACTTGGTTGACCCACGCACACAATGGGCACAACCCTCGTTTCCCCAACAACAAACCCAAAACCCATCAACCTCCCACCAACCCCCCAGAAGAAGCAGAACCACAAACACCCAACCACAATCCCCACCACAACACAATTACACTCAAATGCCCCACAACCAACCACAATCACCACCTCACTACCAATACCCCCATATGCCTCACACCCAACCACAATACCAACACACCCGCATACCCCATACACAATTTCAGTCTTTCGTATATCCCAATATGGGCCCCTCAGCATCCAGCCTTAGCCCTGATCTGGGAATGTCGGAAGATTACGAACAAACCGACCCAGCCTACCATCAACCACAATATCACCAAACCACCCAACATCCTCAATACCAAACACCCCAAGATCCATTTCCTTTCTACCCACCGTACTCAGACGATCAATGCTACAGACCCACCATGGAACCCCACCCACCGCCAACACGATCAAACTTTGAGGGTATGGGTAACCGACTGTACCAAAGCGGATCTTCTAGATATGGAGACCTGACTGATTTTATGGATCCGGAACGCATTGACTTCGCTGGGCCATCGACCCTGCCACAGTAGGAAACGCGATGACACATAGCACGGGAAAGGCGAGGACGGGGATGCGGAACCGGGGGTCATTACCGGGTTCCGGAGGATCACTGATTTATCTGTTTTTTTTTCTGTTTTTTTTATCTGGTTTTTTAATGTAATACATTTGGATGTAATTATTTTTTTGAATAAAAAGTCAATTTTGTTGATCCTGTATCCAATACGCAATGCACCGGACCAAAAAAAAAAGCAAATTTTATCCTAGAAATACACATAGGCGCCATCTCACTTGGCTTAGGGCATGCCCTAAGCACATAAGCGCCAAAGTGAGATGGCGCCTCCCCTTAAATAATGGGTGTAGGCGCCAAGTGAGATGACTCCTCCTTTGAGGAGTCATCTGAAACGGTTATTTGCGTGATTTTTTCCGAAATGCGGTTATTTGCGAAATTTTTTTTAATACTTGGTTATTTAAAAAAAAAAATCTCCATTTCATATCAATGTCTTTTTCAAAGCTTAGGTATGTTATTGTCTCTCTCTTCATTCCCAATTTTCAACTTCCAAACCCTAAATTCATCCCCAATTTTCATCTTCAAAACCCTAATAAACTCATTCCATGTTTCCTCATTCAATTTCATGCTCAATCAGAATCCTACTCCATCCATCATCCAATTTAACAAGATTTTAGGTTCCCTTGTCAAAGCCAATCATTCTCAAGAAGGGTTATCAGCCAAGTGCCATAACTTTGACTACACTCATCAAGGGTTTTTGTCTCAAAGGTGAGCTCCATGAAGCATTGCACTTTCATGACAAGGTGCTAGCGCATGGATTTCATTTGAACCGAGTTTGTTATGGGACATTGATTAATGGGTTATGTAAGGCTGGACAAACAAGAGCAGCCTTACAATTGCTGAGACTAGTTGATGGGAAGTTGGTTCAGCCTTACGTGGTAATGTACAGTACAATCATTGATGGTATGTGTAAAGATAAACTTGTTAAGGATGCTTTTGATTTATATTCTGAAATGCTTGCTAAGAGAATTTCTCCTACTGTTGTCACTTATAATACTTTAATTTGTGGCTTATGCATTGTGGGTCAATTGAAAGATGCTATTGGTTTGTTCAATAAAATTATATTGGAAAACATGAACCCTGATGTGTATACCTTTAATATTTTGGTTGATGCGTTTTGTAAGGAAGGAAAGTTGAAAGAAACTAAGGAAGTGTTAGCTGCGATGATGAAAAAAAGCGTCAAGCCTGATGTTTTTAGTTTTAACTCTTTAATGGATGGATATTGTTTGGTAAATGATGTATGCAAGGCCACTGATATATTCAACAGTATGACCACAATGGGTGTGACTTCTAATGTTTACCGCTACACCGTCATGATTAATAGATTCTGTAAGATTAAAATGGTTGATGAAGCCATGAATCTCTTTCAAGAAATGCATCACAAAAATATTATTCCTGATACAGTAACCTATAATTCTCTTATTGATGGTTTGTGCAAAATTGGGAGAATATCATATGCTTTAGAGCTTGTCAATGAGATGCATGATAGATGTCAACCACCTAATATAATTACGTACAGTTCTATATTGGATGCTTTATGCAAAAATAATCATATTGACAAGGCAATTGCGTTATTAACAAAAATTAAAGAGAAGGGTATTCAACTAGATATGTTCTCATATTGGTTGACTTTGCAATGCTGGAAGACTAGAGGATGCACAAAATGTTTTTGAAGATCTTTTGGTCAAAGGATACACTCTAAACGTCTATACTTATAACACTCTGATCAATGGATTTTGCAACAAGGGCTTGTTTGATGAAGCATTGACCACACTGGCAAAAATGAAAGACAATGGTTGTATTCCGGATGCTATAACTTATGAAATACTTATTCTTTCTCTCTTTGAAGAAAATGAAAATGACAAAGCAGAGAAACTTCTTAGAGAAATGATTGCGAGACGTCTACTGTAATGCCGAAAATGTAAGATGCTTTTCTACCTATATATTGTTATTATTTTGAATTTATGTTTCATTTTTATTTCATCATTTCATTTAAATAGCTGCTTCACCTAATTGGAAAAGGACTTTTGTTATTGTTGTTTCTTTTAATAAATGTATTTATACTTCACAAGCCGATAGATTGGTGAGTTCGAAATTGACAAAAATTGGTAGAATATTATACTTGTTGTCTTAGGAGTGTTGAGTTTGTAACTAAGCGCCTGTTTCGATTGACTTATTTGAGCTTATCTACTGCTATGAGTTCTGTGAGATTGTTTGAGAGAAATTACAAAAGCAATTTACGACACTTTTCATACGCTTTTTCCAAATCTTCCCTAAGGAGCGTATGCTCTGATGAGGAGACATGCTTTTGTATAGGATCCCATAGGTTACTTTTTTCAACAGTTCTTTTGATCCCTTATCCATTAAATGTTGTACACCATTTAATTTTGATATAGGTTTAGAAGCATGTTGAAAATTAAGTTTGTCTGAACGTTCGATGATTTTAATTTAAAACTTAAAATGGAGAAATATCATTTTTGTTCCCTAAAGGATCCTAATAAAACAAGGTGATTTGGTATGGCTTGTTTCAAACATTGTTTAAGTAATCAAAGGACAGTTAACAATTCATCATTCTTTTGATCACTTAGTTAATTGTTTGGTTAAGTCTGACATTTTGCTCTTCAGATCTTCTTGATGCATATGTTCAAGTTCATTAAGATGGCAGAAAAGGTTTCTCTATCACCTGCATCCTCATTGGTCATTGCTGCTAACCTGCCACATCATGAATGAATTCAAAGAATGAGAAGTTTCAATTTTGAAAACATACCGATATTGTCACCTCACTTTACATTAGAATTGACATAATTTACTAATCTTAATATTCTTAGTTTAGTTCTCACATCCGGTATACTTAAAGATGCCGAAAGAAAAAAATAACAACAATCCGAGGTTGTCACAAATCTTATTCAAGTTTCTCATTAATACCTTTGATATCTACCTTATCATTAACCACCATCTTTTTCACCAGGGAACTTGATGTTCTAGTTTTTTGAGGTTTAATTAATGGCTTTTCATCGCAAGAAATAATTCAGGTTAACTCATGGGTTTTCATTGCAATTTCATGATTGAATATGTACGTAAGTTGTAGATACTATTTAAAAGTAAACTAGTGGCACTAGAGTGCAAGGATGCATTCAAAATCTGTTTTGCTGCATAATTTCTTGATCGATGATAATAACTGAATTTATTAAGAGGTAGTTTAGTAAGAGAATGGTTTGAAAAATATTGCAATCAACATTGTTAGGTATTTGGTTTGGGCCTAAGCCCACCAAATGTGTCAAATAGAGGAATGAGTTATATTTGTTGATGTGGCTAGTTGGTTAGAGGGGTATAATGGTCATATAAAGGATAGGGATAGCAAGGGAGAGGGCATTGAGAGTTATTAAGTTTAGAACCACATTGGTTTGGGTAGAGAGAGAATTGTCTCTTCTCTGAGGAGCTTTGCTCTGGGATTGCAAGGGTCTATCTTCTGTAATAGTTACTGTGTTACCATTAATAATATAATTTATTTTCTCTTGACTATTGGGTTCCTAACAAACATACTCAAGCTTGAAATGCCAAAACCTTTGTAAACAACATACACAAGCTTGGAACTTAATTGAAGCAAGCTAAGAATGACTTAGTGTGTTCGAATGGCTAAATTAAATTGTTGCATAATGTATAGCGAAGGTTTACAACTTCATATTCTACTTATTACGCATTGGAGTGAAGTATTGACTATTGAGAGCTAGAAAAAGGTTTGCTTTATGGTAGGCAAATGCTAAGTATAGTGGGGAGGTTTCAGCATGCTTGTGCTTAATGCTTATCGCCAAATCCTATTGACATTTGTACTATAATATTGTGCTGTGATTAGAAAGTAAACAATATAGATTGTCCTGTTTTCTAGATATACCTTTCTAGTTCTAACTATTAACTAGTATTTTGTAAGCTTTTACCATAAACTACAATGTTAAATTATATAACCAATTCATCTTGATTCTCGAAACCTTATTTTTGCTGTCAAGTTAGTTGCTGAAAATGAGAATTGAACAAAAACAATGTAATTGTTGGTCATTTTAGTTGCACGTACCCTCATGGTATTGTTTTGAGTTTAAGCCAGCTTGGTCAAATATTGGCTATTGCTGCCTATAGCATAACATAATTAGAACAAATCGCAACTGTTCTACAATATGCTATTTAGTACTAGTACAACATATTGTTAAATAGATGCTGGTGGCGGAATTTGCACAAACTGCCATTTTTTTGCGACCCGCGATTGATATTATTGGTTTTAGCCAACAAATATGAAGACTAATTTTATAATCGTAAATAAGTTTCAAGGATCACTTTGATTTGTAGTATTCAATTTTAAGACCAATTTGAGTTATTTGCCTACATAAGGTGATGTCTAGAATAAATGACCACAAGTTAACAATTGTATGGATGTTTTTGTCAATTTCCTAAATTCACGAACCATGTTGCCAACGTTCTACAATTTCTGAGACCAACTTGAAGTTCTCAAATGTTGAAAGAAACTGAAGATGACTGGATAAATGTTATCTCTAGATCATATAGAGACACACTTGTCCTTGAAATCAAACCTGCTGATGACAAAGATGTTGTTACAAATTTGGGATGTAATGCTGAGAGTTTGACTGTGGATTCTTCTCAATTAGTGGTTTCAGCAGGAACGGTTGAATCACGACTGCATCTTTTGGAAGAAAATGCCATTATCGGGGTGTTCTTCTCAACTTGAATGTTTAATAGATAAAGCTGAAACTAGACCACTACTATCACAAGAGGATATTGAAACAAAGCTGGGTGATACATTCTGGTCTATTATTATGGGGATGAAACTAAGCTCCTTGGGTCTAAGACACTTTTAGATGGAAGTGATCTGGTAAATTTTGATACAACCGCTTTGATAGCTTTTGTATCGGGAATTAGTAATGTTGGAACATAAAAACTTTGAGGATTTCTTTTTTTACCCTATGATTTTTTAGCGTACCACGCGAAATTTCAAAAGTACCCTTGAAAATTGGAAATATATTTCCAGCGCGCACCTACACAATTAATTCTTTTGTTTTTGTGATTCGTCCTATTTTTCGATAAAATTTATTCCGAAAATATACTTCCGGAAATGCACCTCCGGTTATTACATAATTGAAGCTCCCGGAAAAACAGTTTTCTCATGTTTCCCTACTGAAATCTTATTTGATGGATGCTAGAAACTCTTGCTCACCTGTCAAAAGGGGTAACTCTTCCCCCACTGTTCAGGTTCGTCATCGAGTCTATGCTATATATTGCCTTCATCATTTTCTTCATCGTTTTCTTCTAATGATTTGATGTAGTGGTCTGAAATATTGCTGTGTTTTTCCTCTTTATGTCCTTGGTACTTACCTTTGAATTAACGAACGAGAGTTGATTGCTCATAAAGCTGTAATCAAGTGCATCGAAGAACATAAACTTGAAGAGCAGTATCCAACTAGAGAAGGCCAAAGCTGACAAAAAAAAGGGAAACTGAACCTCTCGGCAATGCATATTATAACTTCTCTCGTAATCATGGAAACTACTTTGGAAATGGCTATCAGTACCAAGCTACATATCTTCACTAGTTAATATATCTAGTATTGAAGCAAATTGTTACATAACGAGTTATAGTCGAAAGTGTATTTTTAAAATAAATTTTGTTGTAAAATAAGACGAATTTCAAAAACGAATAAATTATGTGTGTGGATGATGCACATCAGAAATATATTTTCGATTTTCGAAAGGTATTTTCAGAAATACGTAGAAATTTTCTTTTCACTATAAGGTGGAATGAGAAATTCTCAAAACTTTTGGCCACCGAGACAGTGTTGGCATAAACTTCATTGTGGATTGTGTTCATGATGAAGTTTCAATTTATAATTCTCTAATAGACATTTGTTTGTTCATTATCCCAGCTCCCTCCATCAATATAATAGTCCTTTGATTTTATAATGTACAATCAAAGTATTCCCTGTGGATCTACAACTTATTATTAAATTAGTCTCTATCTTCCTCTAAAATTTATCAAATAAGTCCCTACAAATATGAGCAACACCACAAATACATACATTTATTTAACCATTCAGTTAGCGTATATGACCACTTAATGTCATATTAGTCAATATCTTATCCAAATTCTTCAAATAAATTCCAAGGTGAATGAACAACATTAAAAATATATAATTTATATTAAATATAAGTTTCTACTTATATGAACAACATCAAAACAAAAACTCAAGAGATTTACGCCACTTGTTATTAAGCAACAAAAATAACAAAAGTACAAAAGAACATGGTTCCTAGTTCTTACGTGCTACTAAAGTACAACCAGAAAAATAAACATTGGATAATGGATAATGCTTCGTGCTGGAATCACATCCATAACAAGAGGTGTCACATTAAATAATTAACAACACAATTTTTTAGTTAATACATTTTTTCCGTCAAATTTCTAAGAATAAAAATTTGTAGTCCTCTATGGATTCTGCTTCATTACCTCGTCCTTTGATTTCCAACGTCATCACCCACACCTTGCATAGTTCATGCACTACTCCACGTAGTGCAAGATTTGGTCTATGGAAGAACAACCTGAGAAGCTTGGCATTTTATGCTATTGGATTCTCTAAAGTTGGAAATGAAGACATATTTGATGATAGTGATTTGAAGAGAAATGAAAATGGAGCAATCTTGGGAGCTTTTGGTACTGAAATAACACAAGAAAATAATGATTTCTTTGTGAGTGAAGCCGAAGGTGATCCCGATTGTCCTTCTAAAGGATACTCTTCCATTGATCATGCTCTTAACGCATTGCACCAAGGAAAGGTTAGTTAGAAGTTTGTTATAGACACGACACTGACACTGATACTGGTACGTTAACATATATGTCTCGAAATATTTGTAAT